GGCCGATGCAGCCGAGTAGCAGCTTCCGTGATAGCTGAAGATCGTGGCTTTCCGATAAAGTCGGTTTTGCTGACATTGAAACTCTGTGCGCTGAGATGCGGGTAGTGTCGTATCTAATCTTTTCTACGACACCATCCCCCGGGGCGCCGTGGCCCTCGGATGTAGGCGTTCCACCTAACCGACCGGATGAAATTTCACCCTCCACCGACTCCAACGACGCCCGCTACCTCTGGCAAAATAGCGCAAATGGTTTGGCGTCGAGTCGTGGCCTTTGGTTGAAGAAATGAGTGGTCTCGTAGTTATGCGCTAACCTACGACAACACACTCGGGGCGGCCGGACCCCAGTGGGTGATCGTATCCCCGCAACCACCGGGCTGATCTAGCCAAGTAACGGCTTGCACGATAGCTGAGGATGGTGTAAACCCATTCGAGTCGGTTTTACGTTGATTCACGCCCGAGATGCGGGTGATGTCGTAGTTAACCTTATCTACGACGCCACCCTGCGGCACCACCGTTAACCCGTGGGTAAGCATATCTCGGCTGACACAGGTCCGATTGAGGTCATCGACGGCTCTAACGATAGCTGCGGGTCGTGGCATGGAAGCGTGAGTAGTTCTGGGCTGCTGTGCGCTCATTGGGTCGACGTAGACCACGTTTGGAGGTTTATACCGAGCCCACGATACTGCTTTGCCCCTTCCTGAGTCTGTAACTCCAGAACCACCGAGTCGAATGAGATGTCAAAGTACTTGCGCGATTGCTGCGGGCCGTGGCTACCTAACGAAGTCAGTTGTACGGCGATTAAAGCCCTGTTGTTAAGGAGTGTGGCTGCTAGCATGAATAGGGTACATCTTATTCTTGATAGGATGCGGGTCGGTCAGGAGGTATTCCCTTCTGACCCCTACCCCCTTAGAATTGTCTACTCTGTGTACCCCCTGAGATGAAGTTGGATCCCCACTTCATCCCAGACCTTTGCTGATCGTCTCTCAGCAATAACAAGCAACTTTCTCATCTCAACTTGGTCGTGGACAAGCGGTCAACGACAGAACCTTCATCTATCTCTAGGAGCAAGCCACCGCTCACGGCATCACTCCTTGAAACTTGGCGCCAGCTGGTATTACACGGTAAGCGGGTGCTGGACGCGGCTTCCACACTGCTGTGTGTTGTTGCCACGCTTTTTTCATAACCACCGGGTTGCATGTTATTTGGTCTCACCACCCTCGAGAATCTAGACTTAGCCTCTTCTCTGCTTCCTCTCCTGTAGAGATGCTGGCTTGTGATGCTTTTGCGAAGCGCCCGCGGGACTGGGACCTTGCAAAGGATACGCGCCTCGAAGGCCATCGCGATGTTTTGGGTGATTTCTCGTACGTTCGCCGTCCCTAGAAAGCCATTTTGTCTGCATCGGCGGTCCAAGAAGTGATTCTGTGGCGGATACCCTCTGCATGGAGCGTCCTGAGTTGCTGGCCTTGTGTAGTGGGACCCGAGATGACAGCATGCTTCCCACGTCTGCTACCACCTCTACTGCATTCATGCCGGCGTACCGGCCGATGTCCGCGGATTTTCCTGTTGTGCTCTCCGATTTGACTCCGCTTGCATCGACTTGGAACGCGATGTGTGCACACAAATTGGGTGTCAGCCGCCCCACCAGCCTTCCCTCCATTTTTCGAAATCACATGGCACTTTTTTTCGGGGAATCGTTCACCCTCAAAGCATTTGAATTGAAAACCTTTCAACAGCGCAAACCCACAGCGGTCTTTGCTCGCACTTCGGCACCAGTTGCGGAGGAACGCCGTGCTGCTCTGCGTGTCTTTTGGTCGTAAAACCTCGTGTCTCCATGCAACACGGGCCCTTTTGTGCTAGCTTCTACTGCTGTTTGTGCGTGGCATGGTGTGCTTTTGGACGCTTTTTCTGCTCGGTTGGATCCGCTTCAACCTCGTGTGCCCCAAGCTTTTATCACTGGGCGTATGCTATCTTGTGGATATCTCCGCCTTTCGCATGGACCTCGGCTTTCTCTTCCCAAAGTTGCACCCGGCTCTACCGCTTCTGCTGCTCTTGAGGCTGCTGCCTCAACTGCGGTTGGTTATCCTACATCTACTGTTTCTGGCCCTGCTGCCCTTTCCAAAATCGATCGTAGCTACCCTCTCTCTGGCCCTGTTCTTGTTAACAAAGAGGACACCATGTCCAGCGGCAAAGTGGAACTCCTGGGAGACAATGTGGAAATCCTCCACTACGAACCCGAGGGCGAGGCTCCCACCGCAGAGCAGTTTCCAGCGGCGGGTGCAGAAGACGAGAGCCCCCCCATGACCATGGTGTTCACCGTCGATGATTTGCTGGACAACATCGCCACAGCAGATCCGGCGGAACTGGAGCGGGCCTACAACACCGGACGTGTCTCTCTGGAGGATATCGTAGAAGCAGCCCATCTGTCGTCCGATTCCCCCCTTTTCGTTCCTCCTTTCTCGCTCCCGCCGGAAGACAGATTAATCCCTTTGCCCCACGGCGAGTTTATGGCGTACAAAGGTTGAACGAGATGTGGTGCGACGGTCTTGCCGGGAAGATAGCAGAGGCGGAGGCGCGAGAGCAGGCGAAGCGCGAGGACGCGGAGCGCTTGGCGGAACGGGAGGCTGCTCTGGCCGCTGCGGCGAGGAAGCAGGAGGAGGAGCGTGAGGCTGTTCGGGCTGCTGCGGCGAGGAAGCAGGAGGAGGAACGTGAGGCTGCTCTGGCTGCTGCGGCGAGGAAGCAGGAGGAGCGTGCGGCTGTTCTGGCGGAGCATGAGGCGTATCTCCAAGCGGCTAGGGCGAAGCAGGGGGCGCTCCGATCGCGGCTGAAGGAGCTGGAGCCCCGCCACCAGGATCCGCGAGCAGCCCCCCACCCCCGTCGCCGTGTTATCGCCCCCCCTCCCCAACGCAATCCCAGGTGCACCTTGGTTCCCATCATACCGCCTCGCTGCACGAGAAGGAGCGCGAAGTGGCGGCGTCTCCGACGAACGAGCAGGAGCGGAAGAGGACAGCGACTCCGGAGTTTTTGGTGACTTTGGGTCTTCCGGCTGGTGCTGAAGACGAAGTATCGTTTCCGGCGGCAACCACGGTGTACGAGTTCCACGTTGGAGAAACAGCGTTCCTGTCCCGCCCGCTGGAGATGCCTGCAGAAGGTGTCACCTTCCACGATGAGGACAGATTGGCAGCTCTTTTTGCATGGGCTGGCATCAAACAACTTCTCCGTGCACGATTCCCCCCACCGCGCCCCGTTGCTTTCGGGCACATCTACCACACACCGTACCTCGCGAAACTTCCGCCTTCTTCGCGGCAGTCCGTGTTCCAGCTGTTGTTCGCTCTCCGTCGTGCCACCTTTCATGAAGGTCCTCAAGAAACGTCGGTGGTGACCCAGGAGGGAGGACTCCAGCTGCCTCTTGCTCGNATGGGCTGGCATCAAACAACTTCTCCGTGCACGATTCCCCCCACCGCGCCCCGTTGCTTTCGGGCACATCTACCACACACCGTACCTCGCGAAACTTCCGCCTTCTTCGCGGCAGTCCGTGTTCCAGCTGTTGTTCGCTCTCAGTCGTGCCACCTTTCCTGAAGGTCCTCAAGGAACGCCGGTGGTGACCCAGGAGGGAGGACTCCAGCTGCCTCTTGCTCGTGCTGCTTCGACCAACGACTTCAAGCACGATCTACAAGCCCCCCGGCAGGCCTCTTCACGCCCTGCACATGGTTCTGGAGAGGACAAGGACTTCAGTAGGTCGGCGGCTCCGGTGTCCAAGAGCTGGAAGAACCGTTGGGGCGACCGGGATTCGACGGCCAAGAGCGGGACGGACGAGCACCACCCCTTCACCCAGTGTTCGCGAGGGCGCAACGTCGGAGATAACAGGCGAGGGCGAGCCGTGGGGAACCAGCCTACCAGGTCTTCGCCGGCGAGTCGCCATCGCCGGAGCAGGAGTCGGAGCGCAGAACGACAACAGCGCACCAATCCTTCGTCTAGGCGTGGGCGCAGCCGGAGCGGAGACCGTCGTGGGAGAAACACGCCTCCGTCGAGGCGTAGCCGTAGCCGGAGCCAGAACCAGAGCGGGGGCAATAGCAGGGCGACCAGCACTGACAGCAGTCGCGGTGGAAAAGGGCGACGGAGGTCAGGCCACGGTAACAGGCAAGTGACGTATGATCGAGGTGATTTTCGTAGATCTGGTTTGTTGAGGGGAAACAAGGATGCTTCAGAAGACGCTTCTCTCTGTTCTTCACCGCTTG